ACGTGCGCAACAGAAAGACTCATTACACAGATTTATATGCATATACAAATTAGTCAGATATTGCTATATCACTGTCCACAGCCCTAGCAAAAATCATAAAAAAGCATATGCAACGCGTGGCTACTCTGTATCAAACAGTTGCTATAGTGAACAGCGAGTATATGTTCTTGGTACTGCCCACCGTGGCTCACGGGGGCCGTGCGCCCTTACTCGCCCGAGGGCGCTGGTATGGGCGGTGGGTGCAGGCTCCTCGTGGCTCGAGGCGCTGCCCTTGCTGTGGGAGCCACGCGGGCGGGGCCAGAGGGGCGCCCTGCGCCGCCCCCCGCGGGCTGCAGGATTGTACAGCAGCGTTCTCGCCTCAGCGTTCGCCTGGGGCGCGGAGGCCACACCCACCGCCCACACGGGATTTGCGACTCCAAAACCTTAGGATTTTAATAAGAAATTTATCTTTATAAATAATCTTATACATTTTTGTCATTTCCATAAATTGCTCTTTCTCCTCTTTAACAACAAATTGTTTCATATATTCTTTTTTTTCTACTGCGTCACGCTCAGTAAAGTTACAGATCCTAATTTAGATTACGTAAGTGAGCAATGTTAAAATTCACAGCTCCTTGACTCTTCTAATTTGTTTATAATAATTACAAAGGTAGAGAGATGAGAGCGAAGGCCGCCGGGAAGCCCGGGCGGCACCTCTCGCCAGTCTCACATGGAATGGCTGGATCAGCGGCTGTACGCTGCACTCACGCCAGCGCTCCGGCACCGGCGTGTCTCTAGAGGGTCCTAGAGGTGTTCTAGAGGGTCCTGGTGCAGCTAGTGAGACTACGGGGAGGGGCTGGCTCACCCCGCCACGGGTGTCCGCTGAGCCACGGCCCCGCGCCCGCCCTCGGCCCTCGCGCGCCTGCCGGCACCGTTGCCGCGAAGCCTCTTACAACTAATGCTTCACACACATATATAAAATTATATCTTTCATAATTATTGTAATAATATTAATAAACTATCAATAAATACGAAACAATGCCATTTGTCATTCACATTCACAAATATAATGATATCAAACACGAGAGAGAAAGCGCATTTGACCTTGACTAGCTACGTAACTGAGTGGTTTGTGACAGGTGTGAGGCGGCGGCGGCAGAGCAGCGCGCGCGCGCGTCAGGCGAGAGGCGGCCATTGGGGCTATGGGGGAGGGGGAGGGGAGGGGTCGCGCGGCTGCTGGGGAAGGTCCCCTGCTCGCGGCAGAGGTCGTGGCGGGGGTCGTCCTGGGGTCTGAGGCAGACAAGAGGCGTGTGCAGCGCGGTCGAGTGCGGTACACACTGACAGTTGGTCGACTTCTGGTGATGAGGGGTCAGGGACTCGTAGAAACTTTACGTTATCTAAGACTAAACATTGTGGCAATACCTTAATAATAATTTAAAACGTGTTTTATCACCATATACTACAGTATGATTAAAAATCAATGACATGCCATATGAAAACAATAAATAAATGCTTGGCACACATTCGACTAGACTTGAGGCCATACATGCCTCTCACAACTAGACAGTACATGGGACTAAAATATTAACGCTTACAAAGCCCTACAGACGTATGATAATATGTCTTTTACAAAACCCTGTGGAAGCCAATGGTAGCTTCATTTCATGAAGATCAGAAGGAAGCATAAGAAAATACTTTCAATTCTAGGAAACATCTAAAGCTTCGAGATAGAAATATTAAATATTTACCGACATTTACTATCTGATGCATCCAAGAACTTGTAGATAAGATTATAAAATTCAGAGTATCTACAGAACAACACCTCTATGTATACATAGCAGTAGATAACTATTTCTTTGTCATTACAGTAGTCTAAACCTAGAGATAAGCTCAACCCTATGATTGATCCGTCATGTACTGAAGGTGGAGTATTCATAAAAATATCATTTTCAGTTAATCGACTAAAATATCAAGCCTTTTCCACGTGTTAGCCTCTATATCAAGTGATCCAGTCAAACAGTATAAAATGGTACGCATGTATACAATACTTCAGTTATCACAGTCACATTTCTGGTTCCAGGTGGAGCAATCCGATGGTGTCGATGCTTGAGCAAACAAGGTTGGCGCAGGGGGTCAGGCAAGGTGGGGAGTAGCGGCCGCCCTGAAGGGATTAACTGAAAATGTTGTACACTGACCTACACAACTGAGTGGGGCTCGGTCCACAGCGCTCGTGCTACCTGCATCTACTCCGCTCGGCTGCCGGCCGAACCCCACGTACACCGAGAGTATAAAGTGGTAACTGTCGTAACGTGTGTTCGCTGAGGGCGCCTCCCAGTCACGCCACCGTGGCCGACCCGCCCCTCCACCGCTTGTCTCCAGTGGGCCACGCTGCCACCACCACCCACGCCCACGCGAATCCTGCTACCTCGTGACCAACACCTGAGGGACCAACACCCGCTAACCACCAACTAGACTTGTACCACCAAACATTTTATGAGTATTACTATCATTAGTATATCTTCTATATGACTGGTATCTAGAATGTGGAAAATTACATGTTCATAAAGACAACATTAGAGGTGTTGGCACGAGTGGTAGAGGTAGGTGGTGGCGCAGTGGTGGTGAGGGGCGCGGGTAGCTGGTGGTGCTGCTGAAGACCTGGCCAGACACCGGGTGCTGCATGGGAGGCTGGGCTGATGGTGGCCAGCTGCACTATGGGCCGCTCCTGAGGGGGGGTCCTGGGGGGGCCCCGGCGGTAGAGAGCGGCTGCGACGCTAGTGGGTGGTCGCATCAGTGGATAGGGGCACGCACGATGTGGTTGGGTGCCACGTAGTGATACCCCACGCCCGCCATGCCCAGTCCTGCTGTCTCCATCGCTATCCTGGAACACACACCCACGTCACACACCACACCGCTGGCAGGACCTTACAGCGTTAGCCTCCTAATCGACACTTAACATGGCAACCGTGCGAACTGTGCGGGCTTAATCTCCTCGTTTAATTATGATAAGTAATTAAAGAAACATTCTCTTTAATGGCAAAGTAAAAAGGAAAAAAAATAATAGTTAGTCCTGTGGAGGCGACATGATACACCCGTTCCCGCCCTTCTTCCCTGGCTCAGCCTATTTGTGATCCTAGCATCTCCCTTCCAGGACTCTAGTCTCTTCCATCATCTTGGTATTGAACTTTTGTCACCAGAAACACCTCTTTAATTAATCTCTTCACTGTGACTTCCAAACTTTCAGTGGTTAATAACAATTATAAGAATAAAAGAAATGTTAGGATTTTAGTAATTGAAATTTTAGAAGCTTGTATCTTTTAGTTGTGAATAGTCTTCGATCAGTATGGATATGGCCAGTCAATAGCAACGGTTCTCTTAGCATGACTGAGTACAATTTCTTCCCCACGTGCCTAAGTGACCAAGAGCGCCACTGGTGTTGTGGCTCACTCCTGGGTGGTGTTGAGGGTGTTTTGGTTGGGACTGGTATAGGAACAGTGGTTGTTTGGGGTAATGTTTAGTTTGGCCGTGAGGGAAGGTATGTGACAAGGTAGGTAGGGGGTTCCCCGCGGTGAGGACTTACCTGGCGGGGGTGAGAGCGCAGGTGCTCGGGCGCGATGTTCACCAGAAGGCTGGTTGGCTCAATGGCCACGCACATGTCCCTTTAGTGTTACATCTGTCCTAGGTTACTGCCGCTCCTTCTACAAGGTGCCGCTCGTCGACCACACCAGGTGAGAGCTACATGCCAGTTATGAGGGGTCGACAAGGTATGTGTTGTAGAAGGGAGCTTTATTTTTTTCAAGGCAGGCAGGGTGGTGTTGAGGTGTCGGGCGGCGCCAGGTGGAGGCGGTAGTGGTGGTAGGAAGGTAGGAATCACCACGGGTCAGGATAGGATTGTAATGAAAGGCTTTATCTTCCTCAAACTTTACACTTGTTTAATATCTAGTGGAAGAAACATTCACATATTGAGCTTACGATTGAACACCAGTACTTCTAAAGAGACAATTAACTTATTGCAAAACTGTACATTCCATACATTATGATGAAAAAGGAAAACAGCTGAGTTTTGTACCCACATGTACTTTTCAATGAATTACTTAAAACACATTAAGTATGTAGTAGTAATTAATGCCATATCCTAAAGTGACTAAACCGAGCAACTACGGCACACGTGCTCAGCCTTTTGCGATGCTAAATTATGAGATAGACAGATAGAGAGGGAGAGACAGATAGAGAAAGACAGTGAGAGAGAGAGAAAGAGAGAGGCAGAGAAGAGAGAGGCGGTGAATCTGGTCACAGTGCCCAGCTTTCCTCCAAATCCCCAAGCCGCTTTGGGGCGAGGCACTCAGGGCCGCTCACCGTCTGTGCCCTAAATCATCAACTAATTCTTAAAAGCTTAGTATGTACATCTCTCGCTTCAATACTCTTTTACTATATTTTTGGGGTAATATTTTTTTGGGACTTGACAATTTTTAGTCTTTTCTTATATATATATATTTTTATATTAATTGTTAAAACGTGTGAATCTGAGACTGTCACCAGATGAACCATGACTAACAAACACACAGTAACCATGCATGACGTTTACAGAGAACTCTAGGAAACTTGTGACAATGCAAACTTGCTTTCAGCTTCTTCTGCTTGATGCCGTTATAAAAAACAACAGGAAACAAAGAATCAATTGTCCTAACTGATATGTTTAGTTGAGAGGTGGCAGGTGGTCTGGGCTGGACTGAACAGCGGAGACCACCTTGTATAACAAGCAGCTGCTGGCCTAGTGACAGTGACCATCTGACACCAACACGCACAGGCCTCGCCACGCGCCCGCGCCCACCTCACATGGCTCGCCCCTGCCTGCTAGCGGGCTGGGCGAGCGCTGCGGGCGTGGGCGCCTCGTGTGCCGAGGGCTGTTCCTACTCAGATCTGAAAAGTGTGGCGCTCTCTGATCCCAGCGGCACGTGAGGGTGGCCCGCTCCCGCCGCCGGTAGCAGCGGGCGGCGAGGGCGGGCGCGGTGCCGCCGGGTGAGGGGGCGCCGACACGCGGGAAAACTGAGTCCCCATGTATGTTGGGGCGCCACGGGGTTCATCAGGAGTGGAGGATGAGGACGCTCTGCGCCCGGAGAGGAGCGGGGCCCCCTGGGAGAGGATCAGGTCTAGTAGGGTGCGAACTTGCTGCGCTTGTTCTCCTTGGGGGTGCCATTAGTGGGCTGGTGGGCGGAGGCTTGGGCGCGGAGCTTGGGTTGGTAGGCCTTTTGTGCCTGTGGGCAGCCGCAATACCGGCCAGGCCCTGGGAGGAGTCTGGGGCGAGCAGGGAGGTGAGGGAGGACAGGCCCTGCAGGCGGTCAGGGAGGACAAGGCGTTCAGGGCTTGCGGGTTCTTGAGCAGCTGGGCCAGGGGGATGGCACTGGGGCTCAGCCCACCCGACCCGGTCGACCCGCCCTTACTTACTTCAAGCTGCGCCTTGTGCAGTTCCATGCTGGGGGAGATAAGGGGCCGCAACGTTATCACTGGCACACTACGCCGCCACACCGCCCACACACCCGCCCAGCACCCTCACACCAGCTCCCACCCACGCTCAAGTCCACTACATGTACTGCTGCTGACTACGTGCTTACACTCCCCAGGCCGCACGGCGCGGGCAGTGCTCGCCGCCGACGCCAGGCGGGGCAGGCGAAGGCCGGCCCGGCGGCGTCGGCACCTGAGCGAGAGCTAGAAGACTTGAGCGTGGGCAAGGCAAGCGGCGGGGGCGTGGGGGGGCGGTGCGGGGGCGCGCGCGGCGAGACCAGAGGAAAGGGATGAGATAAGCCATGTTATCGCTTCATGGAGGTACGATGCTCCATTGGATTACTGGATTATCACTTGGATTTTTGGAATAATGGATAAGGACGTCCCCTGACAGGTTGTGGAAACTACTACTGTACAATGACCAAATGACAAGAGCACATACTGGAGTGACATGTAAGGGACAACCTGGCAGTGAGACGACCATGTAAGGATAGCTGACACATCGGGATATGACTGGGTATGAAAGAATGAGAAAAAGCTTTCAAGAATTCTGAATACATAGACTAGGATTTTCTTGTGTTGGATCATTGTGCTATATTCAGCTATGTTGGAAAATTGCAGATATTTAATAAAATTCAAACAAAAAATACAATGTGTTGAAAACTAGTGTTACGCAAAGAGCTGTAAAGAAAGAAAGAGTGAGAAGCAGAATTCATGGTTAACGAAACAGTTCACACCAGATACTGAACAGAATAAGAAAATAATAAAAGAGACTTTTTATCGCAGAAGCCTAGCGGACAGGACGACCATTAGTGGTATGACTGATGAATGTTAGCTTAATTCTGATCTGCTGTCACTCTGGAAGAACTGAAATAAGCAGGATCTGAGCACAAGCAAAGAACAACTACAGGGGACTTGGTATATAACGCCCGCACTCGCCAATGCATCACACAGTGAACTTTCTCTTGCAATACAAAGACATTGAACGAAGCGATGGTTCTGACACAGCCAGGCAAGGCAAGGAAGTGTTGGCTTGCCGTCCGTGCCTGGCGGGTGCGGGCTCTAATGGAGTCAAATGAAGAGCGAGAGAACTAAAGGGACGAAACAGCAACCTGATGAAGAAGGTCCCACCGGAAGGAAGGAGGCGCTCGGAGGGATCTCCGCAAGGAGTGTCATGCAAGGGAAGGGCGAGGGGACGAGGAACGAGAGGGGAGAGGAGAGGGGAAGGGGTGGATAACTGTATGTGAAGATAGATAAAAGAAGAGAAAAGAAAAGGTGGAGAATGAAAGAGAAATAAAGAGAGAGATGACACAACCACAAGTTCCCAGCAAGACAGGACAGACCCAGGACATTACGGGAGGGTATGAGGGGTGGGGGAGAGGTAATGGTGGAAAGGAAAATCGGGTACAACAACTTACCAAAAAGGGTCAAGGCCGGGGCCGCCTCAAGCTAGGAGGTCCACCGGCCTGCCAACGCCAGCTGCAAAGGCGCTTGCAGCTAGGGCAGGCCGGTGGACGCAAGGGAAAGACACAGACCCCATTCCCACCACACAAGATGCCCAAAAGCATTCAAAGCGTCTAGGCTAATGTTCTGATAAACCGTTAACTGTGAGCCACAGAGATGAAAAGAATAATCTAATGTAAATGAAGCTTGACCGCTTGGCGCATAGTGTGTGGACAGGGCGGGGCAGGGCTCCCGGCCTGGACTCCCTTCTGCCACGGCTGTGGAGAGGTGATGTGTGGAGGTGGGCTTGCGATTGAGGCCCGATTGAGTGAGGACTTTTAAGGACTTTGAAGGATCAGAGGTAAAGGACAAGGGACTTACCACGCGAGAATGGAACTGCACTTTTGGCGTCGATAATTGATAATAATAATAAATAATAAATAAATAATATTGATAATCATAGTAACGATATCAATAATAAATAATCATAATGCTCTTTTCAGTAATCATAATAAAATAAATAAACATAAATAAAAATAATATGAAGGAAATATAGTGGCAAGACCTGAAGCCAGTCGTTATAAGGTTAAGGAATACTGAGGTTTTGGTCAACGTTTTTGCTTTTGTTTATTGATTTAGCTCATTTATGGTTGCTTGAATGGAGGGAGCAGAGGCATGCAGGCCCCTGTCCGTTTCTTGTGTACCAGAACGATGTTAACCAGTACATACCTTCAGTCCTTACGGGCGCTGGGACCTCACAGTACTGTGGAAATAGACCCACACGCGTCAACACATGACCAGTGGGCGGTTGTGCCGCGAAAAGTTTGCCATCACCACACATTATCAACAAGTTTGCGATGCAAGGACAAAACAACTAGACCTTTTATTCTGATTTTACTGACGCAAAAATGAAATCTTTTTTCCTCTGTCTTCCCTTCGTATGCAGGAGTGAATGGTTTACAACATAGATTCTCTGGGCAAAGCACAACCCTCCACTTGGTGTAGGAAGTTAGCCTAGTCCTGTGGATGTGTTACATAGACCGAGTAACATGAGGCAAGAGAAGTGTCTGGGTGGTGGAGTGGAGTGGCGCAGAGGGGGGGCGGAGGAGCTGGGGTTGAGGGCCGGGCTTTTACCTGGTGTTGATGAGGTACTGCGCGAGAGCCACCTGGTCAGCGTTACCCTTGATAGTGATGGTTCGGTCTTGCTTGCTTGCGTCTTCTGAACCGTCATCATATTTGCTAATGGTGATCATGGCGCCTGTGATTTGCCTGAAAGTTATGTCCACAGTCAGTGTCCGATTCGACGGCAGCCACACGCACAAGTACGGGCATGCTGAACATTTAAATACACGGGTTTGCTACTTATGTGTTTAGGAAGAGAACCATTCATATGACATGCATACTGTCTTATTACACAAGGAATTACTATACAATTACCGACTTATCCTAAATAAATATATGCAAATATGAAATGCACAGACAAATGCAGCGCGGTCACTCCAAAGAAGAGCAACGCTCTCCAGGTGCGCCGGCGGGCGACGCCGGCGGGCATCGCTGCGGCCGATACTCACCTGATCTCGGCGATCTTCGTGCCTCCCTTGCCGATGATGCAGCCTATGAGCTCGTTGGGCACCGTCATCTCGTGAGTCTGTGAGCCGGGACCCGATCCTGCGGGGGTCCTCAGCTGCGAGCCAGCGAGGGCCGCCAAGGCTGCATCAGGGGGGGAGGAGAGCAAAAATTAACATTCGAAGGTCTAGTACCAAGGAAAGAACATAAGAATAGGAGGGAAATGACACCTGGCGGCACCAACTACAATCACGTGAGCTTATCCACACATGACTGCTTATAATGTGTGGTGATGCAGAGTTGGTGCCGACAGGCGGTGCCAAAATCAAGTAAAGTCATGAGGTTGGTGGTCGCTGAATCGGGGGAGGTGGGGGTGGGGTGTTTGGTGCAAGTGCCGGGCGGCCACATGGCCCGAGTGAGCGGCAACTGCAACCTGTCTAGAGGCTCTTGACTTCAAAATCTCCAAACATAACATGTTAGATCTCCCAAAGTGAGAACGAGAGCAAAGAAAAAGGAGACAGAAAGAAATAAAGAAAGAACGAGAGAAGGACCCCTGGCACGGGTTGAGTCTTAAATCTCGTATTAACAATTTCTTTGTTTTGTTCGAACGAAAACATCGAAGAAATTTCCTATTAACTAAACGTAACACATAACGAGACCATGTGGATACTTTGCACTTGGAGACGAGCCAGTGTGCGTGCAAGAGAGTATCCCTGTGAAAGTGGCATGTGCGTGCTCAGCGACGAGACCAAGTGTCCCTAAATTCCCTTCTGCAGCGCCTGTCACACTAGCACTCTTTTTTTTATATTGGGAACGTTACACTTTACATTCACGGAAATGTTGTTGCGATAAATGGCTCAAACTTGCGCGTCACTGAAACGGCACATCATGAATGCAGCCACACAAGCTCCTGGACAGAATCAAATATTGTAAAAAACTAAAGGAAATGCCTAGTATTTCATGCATATTTTTTCTTAATCTGTTGCCGAATAATTTGGAGCATCATCGAGAGGAAATGATCAGTTCCCTTGGGCAGCGAGGCCGTTGCTCTGGTCCGCTGCCGCTTAGGTCTTTGATCCTGGAGGAGGGGCGCGGCGGTCGTGCGCTTGGGACCCGTGCGGCGAGGACGGAGGTGGGTGTCGAGGGGCGGAGGGAAGAGTGAAGGGCTCGCCAGTGTGCACGTAAACGGGTTGGGTAACCACGGCCGCCATTTTCACGCTGCCTTGCATCAGTGTGCGCGCCTCTCGGGCTGCGTGCGTCGCGTGGCGGGGCAGGTCAGCACAAAAATTTGGCACAGGTACATCTAATTCCCCCTGCGCTCGAATGCCAAATATTTGCTAATTTCAGACCCCTGTGGCCCTTCTAATTGTCCGAGAGGCGAGCATGTATACCATGCTCGGGTGTCAACCTACCTGGCACTCCTCACTCGCCCGGGAGCTAAACAAGGGGATGCCACCGCTCGGGCACCGCGCAACAATAGGTCACGCTGAGGCTTACCGCTATTTACAGACAGCAACACCTTAAGGTAGCCGGTCTCGCAGACGAACTGTGCTTAACCCTTACACGACAGCAACACGTTTCCGTAACTAATGCTAGGCGCGTCTGAGCTGCCTTCTCTGTACGCGTTAGAGCGAACCCGGAACATTGTCAGATACGCAAGACATACCACCCGCTGTCTCAGAAATCCAACTGATAACGGTGAGTCAACCTATCAAATGTACCCTTTTAAACAAGCAGTAAAACAAATCTAATAAACAGACAAAAGTAAACGAATAAATACAGTCTTCTCTGTAACTCTCATTAGAAACGAGTGGCTTGTTTCGCGTACATGAAAAGAAATGTTGAGCAGGAGCGCCTCTTACAAAAGACAGGTAAAGTGGCGACGGGGGCCGAGTGTCCTACAAGTACTGTAATTATACTTGGCGAGAAGACACCTGCACACTGACAACTGCCAGAACACATTCACTCTGCTGAAAGTGCGTTGCTACTTCAGATCACGGGTCTTACTGACCGACATTTACAACAATGAAACATGTATCTACCTTAACAAGAAAATATAAGCTTTAGCTTTCCATAGTATGAGGTACCCAGTGAAGAAAGGAACATTGCATTATACTTAAAGAACTCGGTGATCTACGCATGGGTGTCGAAAGGAAGACACCGTGAAACACTAAAAAGAAATTCAGAGATAGAAGAAGCAATGGGAACACAGACAAGAA